ATATATATATATATATATATATATATATATATATATATTCAATTCATTGGCAATGGTGGTGACTCTGAAACCACAAATTATTAGTCTGACCAACAATGTACGTCTGCTGTTGTTGATGGCTCACAAACATGGGAGAAATGAAGAGCTGGTTGTGGTAAGATGCTTTTATGCACAAAACTAGTGAATGGGTGCTTTTATGCATTTTAGCCATGACGAAGGTTGAGTCCATGACTTCATGCCGCTTGCCTTTTGTCCAAGATTTGGGCAGAAGTATAAACTGAATCTCCATTTTCTATTGGTGATGGGAACTATTGGCTCAATTATCAATGGAAGACATTGGGATTTGCAGAGGTAAGTCGGTGCTGATGCTGGTTATGACAGACAATTGATGGTGAAAGGCCGAAACCCAGTTCCCCAGTTTGTGATGGGGATTGGTTTGGCTGTTTCTTACGGGTTATTAACACCTTACAAATGCTTCTGTACCATGCAGTTTCTGTACTTCTGGATCAATGTTGATCAATGTTCAACGAAAAGGTTCTTATGTTCTTACCTCTTGCCTTACAATGCTCACAGATTCTATACTCTTGAATATTACTTTTGCGAAGGTGCTCTTTCCGGTATCTTGTGGCGTATTTAACACATTTATTTGTTGTGTGGGTTTTGTTTAGGTGGCATCCTACCTATCAAATATTATCTCTTTATGGAGAAAGCTTATGTTTTCATCCCAGTTTTGAAGATTATGTCTAAGCTCCTGCTTTCCCTATCAGCTTCTACAGGATCGTTGAGTTGCAAGATTGCGACCTCTCTGGAAATTGGTGGTAATATTGCTTCGATTGCCATGTTGCAGACTGTCATTTATGTTTGCACGGATTTCTTTCTCTTATTTTTCTAATAAGAAAGGAAATTGTGCCCACCATTTTTTTGTTGTTATTCTTCCTCTTGTCAATTACTGCTAGAATTTGCTTGTTTTTTATCCCTTCTTTTTCATCTGCTTTCGAGTTGGGTTTACTGTGTAGTTGAGTTCAGCTTTTACTGCTGTTGTGATTTGTTCTGTGTTATGTTTTCATGAATTCACAAATTAAATTTTGCCAGTCAGTTCTCAATTTTTTCAAGGTTTTTATTGTTGGTTCGGACCGAGAGTTCTACTATCTTACCCCTATACACAAAATATTTTTAACATGTTGTCGGGCAGAGCAAAGTAGATAATGTTTCTTAATTTTGAAATCAATTCAATTTTGAAAACAATGAATTGACTTGGAGTATAAACTAATAGAGGTAAGTTTATTGTGCAAGTGGAAGCAAGCCTAGTTAAAACGTGTTAAGAGGGAAACAATGTGACATCTAAATCTTTTGTTTTCTCTTTTACATCCTGATCTGCAATGAGAAAAATTTGAGAGATTTAGTCTTCTCAAGTGAGGAAATGGAAAAAACTCTCTTAATCTACCCTTAATCTAAAGGAAAATTGTTTCATGCGTGCTGGACCGCTTTTCTACAATATGCGTCCCAAGGTATAAAGCATCCATCTTAAAGATGGATGCAATTAGGTGGGCCATCTAAAAACAATTGAAACTAATGGTCCAAATGTTTTTCGTAATAGAATTAGTATTTTTAATTTTTTAAATTTATTTATTTATTCATATTCAAGATCTTCATGTTAGAGATTACATGTCTTTAAAAATTAAGTCAAAATCCATTTCAAAAATAGATTTTTAAGAGGTGACTCATTTCTACATTGACTTGTAGAAATCATGCCTTAATGTAAATAATTGGAATTTATTTTGTTTGGTATTTTTGGTTTAATTTGAGATTTTGAATTTGTGAAAGTTGCTATATCTCATTCATTATAACGTGGAAAAGTACGCAAAGAGACTATTTACAAGGTGGTAACAATGATTGTTGTCGGCCATATTTTAAATTGGGTGGTTATTAAAGTGTCATTGATTAGATAAAAAAAAAGAGAATATCGAACTTCATGATGCATCCAACCCAACTATCCAATTAAACATCTTGTGGCTAGGAGGAATAGTCTCATATTAATACAATCCTTTGTAAATTTGTTGTGTTAATTCCTTGTGGTTTACTTTCTTAGCTGATCACTGTTCAACAGATAAATTTAAATGGGCGTCTCAACTTAGGCTATGCAGGTACTTAATAATTGCAATGGGGCAAAATATCAATTTGCCAAAGTTTTAAACTAAGGATTAGTCCATCAGGTTTGCTTTATATAACAAGCTTCAAAGTTTATTTTTGGCATGAATCTATGTAAAAATCATTGACGGGACTGTGAAAGACTTCTCCAGTTCTCTGATGAAATTGTGGGAGTCTATTGGAACCATTCCAATTCTTGGTTTGGATTTGGGGTCTTGGTTCTGAGTGGGAATCAGTTCGGTCCCCACCAATTCTTGATCTCGGAAATGATTTTAGAGTCCCAGCCGAGTTTTTTGAAGTTGCCGCTTCTACATTGAAAGATTAACCGCATATTTATTTTGGTTTTAAGTAATTGGTCCCCAGCCGAGTTTTTCTTGAGAATCCTCAAGAAAATGCCTTGCATTGGTTTGGTGTGCGTTTGTTTTCTTTTACTCGAGACAAATTACAAACATTAGGTGGCCTTGTGTCAATATTTCTTCTTGGAAAAGGGATTCTTAGCTCAAGTTGGACAGAGCTCTCGGGACAATTCCCTGGGAGATGGTGGTTCGAATCCTCCAGAATCCTTGAATATTAGAGAAAATGATTCGACCAAGACTTAAATGATATATTTTTCACTCTTTAAAACAAAAATCGATCGAGTTAGATCGCCAATCTGGCCGTTTTGGATTAGAACTGGTCGGAGCCTAGGACCTCTTCTGCATACTCTGATATCAGGGTTGGGAGCCTAGGACCTCTTCGGCACGGTCTTGTTAGGGCTAGCATATTCTCAAGTAGGGGCTTTCTCACAAGATAAATAAAGCATTACGTGCAAAGAGCACTTGAAATCTCTATGATACGCTTTAAAATCAATTTCCAACCCAGACTATTTAATTTGAAGCTAAAAAAATAAGACGAATAGTGTGGAATTGTGAACTCTCGTTTTTATGGTAAAATGAAGTGTATGGATAATACACTATTTTTAGGGTAAGTCCTAGATGATCGTTTTAAAGTTTTTAAGACACGAGAACTATAATTTTTAGTGAATTTTGAGGTGAGACTTTGTTTATTTTGATAGCGCTGAAGCCGTGTCAAAATATTTTCCTTCCATTCATCATCCTTAAACTTCAACATCCATCTTAAAGACGGCTTTTAAAGACTATCTTATCAAATAATATAAGAAAGTTGTTTCATGCGGGCTAGATTGCATTTCTACATCATATGGTCCAGAGGTATAAGGTGTCCATTTTAAAGCTAGATGCAAATAGGTGATCCATCAAAAAACAATTGTAACTAACTGTCTAAATGTTTGTTTAATATCATTATCAATTTTAATTTCCAAAATTTTAGTTACTTCTTTTATATTCATGATTTTCATATTAAAGATTATATATGCTCTATAAATTATAATCAAATTATACTTTAAAAATATATTTATTGTCAAGCCTGCATTTCTACAACATGCGGGCTGGCCGCATAGAACCGTATCCAGACGTTCTGCCAAAAAATCCCCCCAAGAAGGTAAATTTCAAAGTTTAAGTTTTTTACTTTTATTATATTCATGGTCAGATGGGGCCGCAAATGTTCATATGAGCCGGCTGACCTATAGAAACCCATCCTTCACTTTTTCTCGCCATTTCCCCTAGGGGCAACACAGTCCGATTATTTGGAACTCGATAGCAGAAGCTCGATTATTACCAAATTGACCCTGCGTCCATGGAGGAGCTCGGAACCCGGCTAATGGACTCACTAGCAGCCAGTAAACCACCAAACTCCACACCGGAAAACCAAATGCCGCAGCAAACCTTCCCGGAGAATGAAATAACGGCGAAATCCTCACTGGGAAACTCCTTCAACGTCCAGTCTCACCTGAAATCCGTTGCCTTAGCTGCAATTTCTGTGTTGTTAGAGAGAGAAACAGAGGAAGTTGCACTATCAAACCCTATGTTGGACGCCATTGATAAAATCTTCATAGAGAGGGTCTACCCTCTGCTCATCTCCCTGTTTCTCGAAGCTTCTCGACGAGACTCTTCCTCCTTTCTCAGAACCGAGTGCAGCCTATCTGAACAAGTTGCAGAGATACTGATTCATGTCTTCGAAGAAAATAGGGCTCATCTGAGAAGGATTCTGTCAAAAATGGCGGATCATGGCTCGATCCCTAGGGTTTCTGGTGTGGATTGGAGGATCAACCACTGTAACCCTAATGAATTATCTTATTTCATCAATTTGGAGACGATCAATGGAGAAAATGGACAAAGGGGGAAACTAGGGTTTGTGTGCAATGTTGAGGAGTTGCAGAACCTGGTTGCTTCGATCAAGGAAGCCTGTACATCTGCTGAGAGATTAGCGAATGGTGCAAATCCATCTTAATTTCTCAGAAGCCATTACTATTTGTCTGATCAAAAGTCATGTAATTTTTGTGATCCGTTAATTTGGAGGATACTGAGTTAATCAAAAAAACAAGTTTGCGCTGGTAAAATTGCAGGTTATGTTGATTCCTTAGTGCTTCTTATACTATTTTGAAATAGAGATTTGGAACACTGAAGAGCGGTTTTGCTTTATTGATTTGGATACCCGAGAGAAGAAAGTTTAGGGTTTCTTGTTTTGCAGGTCACAAGATGAAAATTTAACCGATAAATGGTTTTTCGTTGAGGTGCACACATTATTATGCTGTACAATTTTTGTTTTTTCCGAGCTTGGGTGATGTTGTATCCGTTTTTTACTTTTTGCAAAATCTAACCGGCGGAACCGGTAATTCGGCCTCTAACTCCTGAACAGTAAAAAAAAAATACGAAAAGAAAAAGAAACCTAAGCATATAAAGAAGAAAAATGGGTTTATAAGGCTGAAGCCCTATCGAAATAAAAAAAACCTTGAAATCAATCATCTTAGTTTGAATTGTGCAAAAAATTTAAATTCTAAAAATAGTGTATATTGCAACAATATCAAAATAAGAAAAACCTTTAAATCAATCATATCAGTTTGAATTGTGTAAAAAATTTAGGATTTTAAATTCTAAAAATAATGTACATTGCAACAAATTATCTAGACTATTCATTTTGCCCTAAAATAAAGTGGTTACAAATCACAAGATCTATACTATTTTTTGAATTTCAAATTTTATTGTTAGTATTGGAAATTAGTTTTAGAGCAGATTTCCAATGCCGAAAGTGCTTTCCTAATGTGGATTTGAGGTGAGGCTTTATTTTCTTTTAAAAAAGCCTAGGCCCTATAGAAACTTCATTGGCACTTTCCTAATGTGGATTTGAGGTGAGGCTTTATTTTCTTTTAAAAAAGCCTAGGCCCTATAGAAATTTCATTTTGTATATGACGATTGAAACAAAACACATTCAAATGAAGTTGAAAATTAATGAAAAAAATAGAGTTTAATGAATTGATTTGTGCCTAGGGATATTTTTAAATTTTTTAAAAAAGATGAGAAAACATTAAAGTGAGTATTAATGACCAAAATAATTTTTAATCTTTATCATAATGTAATAAATATTAAAAAATACATTACAAATCGAATTTTTTATTTTTTGGAATTTAAATATTTTTTGATTTTTTTTTAATTACAGTTTGATCACCAAAACTGGCCAAAACCAGAATTGACTAGTAACCGGTTCTGATCTAACTGGACGGTTGCCAATTAAATCACATGGTTTTTCCAACAGTTGTTTGTATAAGGTGCACGCCTTTTAATGTCCAAGAATCCAAAGATGCAGTTATGGTTTCGAAAATATTAGAATGTCTTGAAAATCTATGTTAAATACTAATTAACATATAAACACCTCAAAATCTTGAAAATAGTATATCTACATAACTTGCTAGAGGATGAATTAGTTTTAGTACTTTGAAATTTTTTTTTTTCTTTATACCATATATCACAAGGTCGAGATGATCAATTGACAGATTTTTTTAATTTCAAAACACCACTTTTTGCTTAATTTTTTAGGTGCACTTTTTTTTTTTGACAACGTACTTAATCTTACTATTCAAAACAAAGAGTACAAAAAATGAAAGAGGAAGAGTTCTAGAAAAGAAAACAACTGGAAAAGTCATTCCCTTCTATGCAAGTTCATCAACGACTGAATTTGCCCACAAAAAATGAAAGAGGAAGAGTTCTAGAAAAGAAAACAACTGGAAAAGTCACTCCCTTCTATGCAAGTTCATCAACGACTGAATTTGCCTCCCTGTACACATGTTGAAAAGATACTTGCAAAGAGAAGCACATATCCAAAATATTCATCCATTTTCTTCTTAGCCGCCAAGGAGGTGGTGAAACCAAGGAACACCAATTGATGATATTCAATGAATCCCCTTCTAACACACAAAGAACTTCACTCCTTTTTTAATAATAAACTATAGCCTCTTTCAATCGCTTCCAACTCAGCCTCATTGGCTCTAAGAACGTCTCCCGATCCTGCATAACAAAAGACAATGTTTCTCAAAATATCCCAGAAGATTCCTCCAAAGCCAATTAGGCTTGGGTTATCAATTGAACTCCCATCAAAGTTCAGCTTAAAGCTACCCTGTCTGTATATGTAGAGTCCAACTACCCCATGGCCTTAGTTTGAGGGTTTTTTGTGTAACCAACATGTGGAGATTAACTTTCAAGTCTATCCTTGTAGCGCCAAAACGCTCTATTGTTATAGAAAACCATCGCCACATCGTATTAAGGATTCTACATTTCACCATACCCACTCCAGAGCCTGATCTTTGAAAACCCTCATGTTCCTTTCTGGCCATATCTCCCACAATACTGCAGCCCTTCCAATTTCCAAAATAACACAACCAACCTTAGGCAACCCATCCATATTCTAATGATCAATGATGTTCATATGACTATTTAGCATTGTAATGGCTATCCCCAACTTATTAAAGAACCATCCCCAAAGTTCAGCGGTAAATGGGCGATGAAAAAAAAGATGATCTCCAAATTCGTCATTTTGCTTACAAAGTAAGCAAACATTAGGTAAGATCTTTCCTCTTTTAATCAACTTGTTCACAGTTAACGATTACCTTGAGAGAGAATCCATAAAAAAAGTTGTACTTTATAAAGAATTTTCCAATGCGAAATTCTTTTCAAAGCAATCCTACTCCATCTTCCTCTATCATAGAACAACAAATTATAGGCTGATTTTACCGAAAACATACCATCGTTTTCAATTGCCCAAATGAGTTCATCTTCATGATCTGCAACTGGTCTCATATTGTTTAAGACTCCATGTAAAGCTGAGAATTGCTCAATAACCACATCAGACACCCTGTTATATCTGCATCTAACATTCAAATTCTGCGTACGCCAATCAAAATCTTGATTAACAGTCATCCTTTGCTGAATAATCCATTGCTGAGTCATAAACAAGAGGATAAGAATCTTTCAAAACAGAATCACCAAGCCACTTACTATGCCAGAAAGACATTATATTAGCATTTCCCACAATCCGACTGCAATGTTCCATCATAAAATCTCTCCAATGTAAAATTCCTTTCCACAATTGGGAATGCTATCTGTGGCCTGACCTCCATTTCCAATCCAATAATCTGTTCGGCTCACTCCATATTTATCACACAAGATGTCCTTCCAAAGCATCCCATCTTGACTCGTACCTCTCCACCACTGAGAATAGCTTTATTTGTATTGCACACAGAGTGATACCTTATTTGTAACCTTTTGTTATACAGTTGCAACCATATACAGACTTTTTCCTAATATATTTTAGCCTCTATTTATTTGGAGTATTAAAAGGAAGAACTTAAAAAAGTACTGAAAATAACAAAAATTTTGTGGTCAACAACCTTACCCATCGACTTGGCGATAGATATTTATGCCAATTATTGAGAGACTAAATTTCAAAACGTTCTCGAAATTTTATGATGGAGTTGGATTTTGGATAAAAAATTTATGCGTTCAGAATCGATACCACGTTGAATATGCATTTAAGAAAAACTAATTTAAAAATAAACAATAGTGTTAAGAGAAATAATTTAAAATAAATTTTATGAAATTTGTCAAAAATAAATAAATAAACAATAAGATTTTTTGATGCAAGTTTTGCACTGTGGATTCTAAGTTTCGGTGGGACAACCATTTTTTGTTTTTTTACATATATTTTTAAGATGGTTGTTTATGTAAAACTGATTCGGGAAAGGGGCTCGGATCGTGATCGCAATACCCCTACACTCTCGTCATTATGCTGTGGTTTCTTACTGACATCATCACACTAACACTTTCAAAAAACTAACTCTTAAACCATTTGGAAAAAAACGGATAACATGTCTTCTCCACTGAATTATCCCAAAAAAAAAAAGTAATTTTCTTCTACACTTTAAATAGGGATGCTCTTGATTAAAACATTGAACCCCCCCATTTGGGCCATCACGAGTGATTACGATTCTGGATTTTCAAATGTTGGTTCCTATAGCGCTCAAAAAAAAAAAAAAAGAAAAAAGGAAAGAAAATTAAATCTTATGGTCCGAGGAATTACCGGTTGGACCAATCTGGATCACTAATGTAAGGAGAATCAAACAATTATCCAATGTGGGATTCGGTCCAGAATTTTCATTTTGGTCAACCACTTATCACATATTTTTTACAAGGTATATTTTTTATAATTTCTTTAGAAATTTTATAAAAGTTCAAAAAATAAATAAACTATGGAAATTGGAGTTGTTATTTTATAAAAGTTCAAAAAATATATAAACGAGGAAATTGGAGTATGCAATAACTGAAAAACAGTTTGATAGGGTTGCAGCTCTATCAAAAGAAGTAAATGGAAATTGGAGTATGCAATAACAACTGGAAAACAGTTTGATAGGGCTGCAGCTCTATCAAAACAAATAAAGCCTCACTTCATAACTCATGGAAAATTGCAATTCAATTAGTAGAAAACTTTTACATTAATCATCTTGACATGAACATTATGGTTATTTAAAAAAAAAAAGAAAAAAAAAAGATTTGAAGCTCTAAAATTAATATATGTTGTAACAAATTATCTAGATTGTCCATTTCACAAAAAATGTGTTCATGATCCACTGTACCATGGTTTGAAATTCAAAATTCATTGTCGATGTTGAAAATTAATTATAGCGCCACCGTAGAGATTTCCGTCCCAAAAAAAGTGCTTTGAGGAGATGTTTTATTTGGTTTTCATAAAGCCTAACCTATATGAAAGCCTCATCAGTTTTATTTGGTTTTCATAAAGCCTAAGCCTTATAAAAACCTCATCCATAATAAATTGACTTATACGCCTTATAAAAACTTCATCCATAATGAAATAAATTGACTTATACGCCTTATAAAAACCTCATCCATAATAAATTGATTTATATTTTAAAAAGGTGTGTTTTCTATAAGGTTGCAACCTTA